GGTCGTTTTGGAGATTGAAGGCCGTTTTGGAGATTGTAATGTGTGATATATCTATTACAGGAACATCAGTATATAAGATGAGCGATCCGATCAAGATCCGCGTGTGTCTTCAGTACCACTCGTTCACGCCTACTGTCTGAGTGCCTTTCATCAATCCAGCTATTCATACCAGTACTGGTGATTCATCGATTACCCATCTTGTTCAGTGTTAGTATCTCATACGATAAACTACTACCCTTTGTATCTGGCTCAGCCTAGCACCCACAATGGTTCCTTCGATCCATCGACACGTTCATATACGGTACCAGAAACAACATACATATTAACTCTGCTAAATTCGGAGACCACTTTTTACTTTTCAAGTGCTAAAACTATTATATTCGAAATACTTAGTACTTATTACTGCTTAATTTTAATTTTAGTTGGTATGTGTTTATGTAAGATGAGGAAATAAAAAAAGGGGAAATGTGAATAAAATAAGATTAAAATTTGAATGGGAATGAAAATCATGTATTTAATCCGAATAAAAATTATGTATTTAACGCTGAATTATCGAGATTAGTAAAACCCCCAGGTCAATCACTGTGGGAATTCGAAAATGATGGTACGATCGAAAATCTCCCTCAAATGCCAGACATAACTGTATTCCATACTGATGGTGATGCTCAACACGCACTAAGAATAATTTGAAACGATAAACGCCTTCCGAAATGCTTTCATTAAACTCATATTTCATAAAAAAACACAAGCAACGAAAGCCAAAATCACAAGCAAGCTAACCATCAGCCCGTTCAGCATTGGTCAAAGCAAATGAAAAAGTTGTCAGCTGCATATTTGGACAAACAAATTACGAAATATAACGGATCAAAGTATTTTCAAGACATAATTGTAATTTTAATTTTAGATGGTATGTGTTTATGTAAGAAGTAAGGGAATAAAAGGGAATGTGAATAAGTTAAAATCTGAATTATTTGAAGGAAAAACCCAAAAAAAAACGAAAAACCATAAGCTCACTTTGAGTGTTGCTACAGCTTGGTTGTAGGGAAACAGAATGATGCTGCTGTTGCTGTGAACAGCTAACAACCGGATTTGTAAATGAATAACAGCTGGTAGTATCCTGCACGCTCTGCAATCGTTGCAAAAGCTTTAGTATTTGAAGATAAACAAATCAATATCTTAGAAATCCACAAGAAGAAATATGATTCCGTGAACAACGAAAATCAACGGTAAACCCACAAAAAAATTCTTCTTCTTTTCCCACCTCGAAAAAAAAAATAAATTTGAAAAGCTGACTTGTCCAAGTGTAAAAATTTGAGCAATTGGATTTTCTGGGCTTACAAGGCTTCTATGTCCCTGTGATGTTAGGGTAAATCAACCCGTGGGTAACTTTTCACTACTTTTACCGCCTTTTTCGCAGGTATCCACGGCACATGCCCTTATGCCCCAACTTACATCTAACAAATATGGATCGATCCGAAACATTATTTATCCCTATGATGCCAGGGTAAATCAACCCGTGGGTAAAATTTCACGATTTTTACTTGCTTTTCCGCAGGCATTCACGAACACGCCCTTATCCTCTAACTTACATCTATCAAAAACGGATCGATCCAGCGCATTATTTCAGAAAGCCGAACTGAGGGCGAAACAACTCGGCCTGTAGCCACACTGCTTGACGTAGAACAAGTGGAACCGCCGGATGTGTGACGTTCACGTACGCTATTATTACATTCCTGCAACAATTTACAACTGAGGTAACAAAAAATATCAAAAAATAATGGCGGCATCACTCACCGACGCATTTAGGGGGT